TCGATAACCATTTCTCCCCGCGGCGCATATAAGCTTGAAATGTGTCTGTGAGCTCTTTGGTCGCTGACCTTTACAGATTTATAGAAGAATACACAAAAGACGGCGCAATGGACAGCCGTGTGTTAGAACTGTTTGCATTTAAAAAGTATGGAGGAAAAATCTATAATGTTAGTCCGTTGCAATAAATAACGATATGTTAACAATAAATCTTAAACCGGTCATGAAAAAGTTCAAATTTTTGTTATTTTCTTGCTTGACCAGTGTTATGAGCACTCCGACAGCTTGAATCAGATAGGAAAACAAATTATTGGGATTTTGTCATTACGTATACAATAATAAATGAAAATGATCCTTGCGCAAAACATTTTTCACATATTTCTGTGAAGGACATCCGGACATCCGCCCAACACTTCACTTCCGCTTGTTGCAGTACGGGAGCAGACGCCTTCACTTTTGGGGCGTTTTGATGCAGTTTGTTGTCGTATGTCGTGTCGGTGTCGAGTGGAGCGGTGGGGCTTGGGAATTCGTGACCGGTGTTATTCGTGAACACTGGTGTGGGGCGCTGATGCGTCTTTTTTTATACTGCCACCACCCCGAACTTTGAAGATACACGGGCCCGTAGCAGTGCATTACGCTGAATCGCGAGCTCCTTCTCTGTTGACGTCGCTTTCCTGGTACCACTCGTGGATACTGCAAGCGTTTAAACAGTGTGCACGGTCTCGCCTACATCCCCGGTGACGTACTCGACCTGTTGAAACTTATTGCTTCCGTGATTTTATAGTACGCAAGGCAGTTATCTCGTTGGTCTGGTTTCGGTTATAACAGCAAGGTAAAACGCTCGCAGTTCCCGCCCTCAGTAGACGTTGGACATCTTCCACACTTTAACACCGGATAACTGAATGAACTAGGATTTACATTCACTTCCGAGGTTACTCTCGCCGCTTTCTCACCGTTGAGCAGCAGGATGAGCTGGCGACAAGCCGCGGATGAAAGGCTTGAGCATCAACAGCCCAAGCGCACTCGGTGCCGATGCGGGCGACGCAGGTTTCTGTCAACCGGGAGGCCAGCACAAACCGTGACCGTTCCAGCTCTTTGTCATGACACGGTGTTGCAAAGAGCAGGGTAAAATACAGCTACACGGATCACCGAAGCAAACGCACTGCTATCTTAAATCTTGGCTTGTGATTGCGTCTTTGTAGTAGATCATCTTATTCGTTTTGCTGGAGAGACGCAAACGACGGGCATAAGAAAATCGCTTGCATATTCGGCATATCTCACAAAAGCATTTACCCTGTCACCTTGCGAAAAGCACGAAACACGGAGTCCGCACCGTCTTAAGCTTCCCGTTTTTTACCAGCTTTAGAGCAGTTTGTACCTGCTAGTAGATATGCCTACTGAAACTGAAACAGGGCAGTGCCAGAGAGAAAGAGACAAAGTTGGGAAAGCTTGCTCGCTCTCCAATTTCTTCACTCTCAAGTGATTGTATACCATAATAAATGCACCAACGCCTCTTCCGAAATAAAGAAAGAGCACCTTCACAACGTAAAAAATTGTCTCAGTACATGCATCTGTGGGCAGGTAGGAAACCTTGCCCTAATTTATTCACGCCGCATGATTGGCGCAACTAACTCGTTGCAGGACCGAATCATTCACTCGAGCGGTATGCGTCGCTGTGCAAACGCAGTCCAACACGAAGCATAAAAAACGACAGATTTAAGACAACAATCCGAAGTCCATTATTCAATTAAAACGACGTAATTTTGTTGAAAACGCCCGCTGCTTCTTACTGACGGTATGTGTCGGGATACTTCCACAGTTTGAAACGGAACGAAGGAAGATTTACTTTAAAAAACGCTCGCTGCGTTCTCCCGGCTGGACCGGATCAGCTGACGACGACGGGACTGTACCCGTTGAACCTCCACCCCGCAACAAACAATTTGCGCTCTGTGTTAAAAGCGTGGTTCAAACAGACCCGGAATACAAAGCACCGCACCACACACGACGAACGTTTCAGCTCTTTTTCGCATCGCCGGGTTGCACCAAACAAAACGAGATCGCCGAAGTCAACGCCGCGCTGTCGTGAACCTTGGCTTGTGGTTGCGAACTCGTCGACCCTGTGACTCCCTTCGCTTTCAAAGCACACACGACGATTACGAATGGTACTTTCCGTCTTCCAGGAACATCACAGGGGCACTTCTCCGGTCACGTCTTCACTATGTGCTCGCAAACTCCGAAGCTCTATGCGAAGCTTCTCGCGTCCCGTCAAACCAAAACAGTAGCGGCGCCAGGCGTACTTGACAGATTTTCTCCGGTCAAACAAAAACAGCGAAAGCCAACAGGCTCTTGCTTCCAGCGTACATCGGCGCTTGCGCCTTGGCCAGATCGTTTGCAGTTCAAGGTTGAAGCAAAAACGAAACCAACTGCAATGTCACGTGTTCACATCGAGGACACGCTTTTTATATCCATTTTAACTGTTTGGAACGAATAATTAGACCCATGACTTTATTTGTGGTGTGTAAGAAACTATTATCAAGACCCCTAACATGGGCGACATGAGGGAAGCCGCATTGCCATCGACCAGAAAATGGCGGTGAGCACGGTAAGCGCGGGTTTCGCCAACGTCCTGCGACATGGCGCAATTGCTTTTGGTGCATATCTGCCTCCGAGACATGTTTCTTTCCGCGGCATTTGTCTGGACGGTCCTTTCTAAGTGTGTCCCCAAGCATTCCGGTGCTTCGATAGCCGGCAATGCCGCGGTCGTCGCCGGGGGCGGTGCGTGTTATCGAGGTCGGCTACACGGTTATGCGTGTATGACCGAACCAAAACACGTTTTTTACAACCTCGCATGATTTCTGAACGAATTATCCGTTACTCATCGTGTAAATGTATGGTAATTTGTGTAAATAACGTGTTTTTCACCCCAAATATTCGCCAAATACACGGGACTTGCTAACAGTGTAGGCTGGGGCAAAACGGCTGTACGGCAATACCTGCCGGATATCAAACGGTGGTGCAAAACTGAACATTTCAGCGATATTGGAACCGACTTTCGGCCGGTACTGGCACGATACCGCAAAGTATTGTCGTGCTGCTTGGGAACGGAAGTGATGACATCTGACAATCGTGTTCCCAGCGCTTATTTAGTTTAATTCTCTTCTGGGGCGCGTGAAAGAGCACTTCTGGACACACCAGAGATATTCCAAACTTGGGCACGCCTCTCGGCTTTCTTTGCTACTTTTGGCACTTATTTTGCACTTCAGTGGGTGGCCAGAGAAAAGCCAAACTTCGGCATGGCCCGAATCGCCAAATTAAGATTTATTGCGGCAGTTATGGCTCAGGTCTGGCACTTACTTTGGCACACCTGTGGCGGGCTAGAGAAAAGCCAAACTTTGGCATGCCCTAGGATCGCCCAACTACGACTATAGTTAGGCACCGTACTTTGGCACTGACGATTGCCATGTTGTAAAATCATAACTGCGCCAAAGTTGGGCCCTTATGTTTGCCATACCTTTGCCCAAGTTGGGCATTCCTCTGGTGCGGGCACCAGCGCGGAAGGTTTGTGCCACAGCTGTTTTAAATGAGATTTTTGGCTCGACCGGCTTGCACCTGTATTGTCACTGAAGGCAGGTTGTAACAAAAATCAGGGACCCTATGGTGGATTGCGATCTGGGTGTAATTTGCAATATTCCTGTGAAGTGTGGTTGTTGCTATGTGGGGGCCAGAAGGCTAAGTGTCTTAATCACAACTTAATTTAACAGGAACGAACGGTGAAAAAAACAAATCCGAATGTTCCGAATTCGCGAATCCTATCTTTTCTGAAGCAATTGTGTCGTTGTTTGGAAAAAATAGTGAAGTGCTCCACAGGGAAAGGGACTGTTTCAAACGTTCATTGAAATAGTCGGTTTGGATTGATGGGTACGCTTATTGTGTTAGCGACATGTTGGTTTCTCTATACAACTGCGTGAAAGCGTCTCTTAAAACAGCCATTTCATTCTGGTTTTATTGGTAGTTGGTTTATCTCATTCCTTTTCTTGCTTGGTAATCATTAGGTTATTCACTTTTACTATGTCCTCAGTTTCTGTCTGTCGCACGGTGCAATCTATCATCTCTATGATGCGGAATCTGGTTTGGAGGTTGATGTGTACCCTCTTTGGATACGTGTATTCTGGTTAGTTACCCGTGACGTCATCGTTGTCCTCCGTGTCTCATTTTGGTCTCTTTGGTTTTCTTTCTCTTGGTTGTGAATTTATGGATGTGTTTCGTAAAATAAACTTCAGCTGTGTTTGCAGATTCGTGTTGTCCTGTCTTTCTGTATCCCAACTCTCTGGGGTTAAACATAGCAGCTCCTAAGCAGCTCGCTGGCACCTTTGCATTAAAACTTGTCATTTTGTTCTGCACTGTCGAACAGCTGCAGCGAAGAAGCTTGAGCGGGTTTCGTTCAACATCATAGTACTTGCTGTATTTACTACACTACGGTTACATTTTAGCCTATTTCAGACAATCGTCTCATGAGTCAACTTTCTGAAAGTGGCAACCGTTTGCTTCAATTGGAAGAATGCTTGACCAGCAGACTCCCCGATAATAATTTATTGTCATTTTGAGTCAAGCCAGGCTTTATATTTGTCACTAAAGATTAACAGAATTCGAGGGTCATATAATATGAATCTAGTAATATGTCAAGCATTCTCACCAACAGGTGCTTCTGCAGATATAAAGTGTTCGGTGATGATGCTCAAAAGTGAAAATTCGGAAGTTAAATGTAACTCTGCCAAGTTACAAGTTATAACCAAGTTACAGTTATAGTTACGAGCATTTTATTCTAGCGTACTTAGTTTCAAAAATGTTACTAATTACAGTAACATACATAGTTGTACTTAGTTACTTTGCCGCTTTGCTTCACTGCTAGGTCAGTATAAGTGTGCAGACAGGGAACATTTAGCTGCGTAATCGTCTAAACTCGTTTGAAAGTCCAATACATTATTTTTGTACCCCAAAACTAGGAACACTCCCAAGTGCTACTCCAGTTCCCCCGGGAAGCTACACGTACGCTCAGTATGATAACTCCACCTGCTATTCCAGAGGTACTCCCTTTCCCGATAGAGGTAAGTTAAGGTTTCATGCTCGACAAAAGTGGAGCATTTTTGTTTTTCTGGTATTTATCAGTTTCATTGTAAAAAGAATTTTCCCACGCAGGTGTTGCTGCGAAGCCTCAGTCGAGTGCACCAGAATCTGGTTTAACCGAACATATCCTGGACGACTTGTTCAACTTTTCGGAAATTCCTCAGTATATGGACATGTATGTGGTATACAGCGAGCCGCAATGTTACATTCTTAGGAGTGCCGCAGCCGATGGAGGTAAGGGCTTTACAAGTTCAGCAAGGTTAATGTCACACTGTCTTGGTTTCCGCTAATTTAAGTGGTAAGGAAAGCAGTACAGTTCGATTTATAGCGGAAGAAGAAACAGACAAATCAAAGTTGCCTATTAGAGGAATTTAGAATTTAAAAAGCTGTGTAATAGGCATTTTTCGACAGATTTATTTTGCGTTGCTTCTTGCGCGTAGACACGTACTATATGTGTAAGATAAACTATACATTATGAGGCATGTTCAGTTTACGGAGGTCGTGCTCTAAACTCGCTGGTAATCGTCGGTGCCTCGAAGGCTTACATCAATTGGTACGTCCATGGAAACAGGGGCGCTCTTGGCATCAAAGTTTTGTTCCAACTTAAAAGGAGTGTTCCATGCAGTGCCCAGTGTCGTGCACAATCAACATTTGTTCAATTCTGAACAAAAAAGGTAACTTCACAGGACGGAAATGAAATGTCTTATGTTGACAGTATCGTGTGTGATTTTTAATACATTAAGAATTTTAGTGCAACGCAATCTGAACGTAAGTTAATGCTAAGTTGGAGACTTGCAAGTACAAAAGGCCCCTCCGAATGACCTAACCCTTACGAAAATGGCAGATCTGGACTTATATAAAAAAAAAAATATGTATATATAAAAAATTGGGCAGATCTGGCCATATCAAGCACATCAGTTTATATAAGCCCTATATAACCAGATCTGCCCAATGTTCTTTGTATATCCATATCTGTGTCTGCCAAATAGGGGTATATCTGCCTGCCATATCAGGTTGATTTTTTTTTTTTTTTTTACTTTATTCTTCTAGATTTGTTCTTAAAAAAAGTCATGAAAGTCACACTTATGCGGTTTCTGCGAGTGAGTTATACGCCCAGGGGGACCTTACGTGGGCGCTAAGCTTTGCGATTATTCGGCTAATTAATTAAAATTCACTAATGAACTTTTCAATTAGTGAAAATAGACATACGGTTCCAATAAGCAGCTAGCGGGGCGTCGTCCAAAATTCCTAAATCAGTCATTTTCAGAAAGTCTTTCAGCGCGTGAGATGCGCACTAAAGCCACCACTCGTGGAGCAGGTACAAGGCTAGCGGCTTCGGTAAGGCGCCCGCGCAATTTTTCTGTCTCTTATCTAGCCCCAGCCTTGTACCTGGCCCACGAGCGGTAACTTCAGTGCACTGCTGCGCTTCATACGCGCTCAGTCTTTCTAAAAATTACTGGTTTAGGGGTTTCGGACGACGCTCAGCAAGTTTCTAATTGAAACCATGTCTATTTTCACTAATTAAAAGTTAATTAATGAATTTCATTTAATTAGCCGGCTTATAGTAAAGATTAGCAAACTACATAACGTCCCTCTGGGCGTATCACTCTCGCACAAACCGCATAAGTGTAGCGTTCACTGCTTCTTTTAAAACAAATCTGCAAGAATAAAAAAAAAAAAGGAAACGGTATCCACCGTGCTGGTAGCTGACTCTTCGACCCTCCACAGCGGGAGCAATGGTAGCTGTGCCGCGCTCGGCTGTAGCAATTACCCGGTATCCCGACGATCGTTTCGTCAGCATGAACCGCGAGACAGAATGTCCGTCAAGTTAGAGAAAGTACAAGCGGGCGGAGAGGGATACGCCCGCAGATGACCTAGTATTGTTTACCAGTATTTCGCAAAATCGTAACAATCTTTCTACAAGCGACTCGTAAAGCCGCTCGTCAAATTTTTGAACGCGTTGTTGTTGTTTTTCGGCGACCCGTCAAAACTTTGTCGGCGGGATATCGAAACTTTCTGCTTGTAGCGCAATCGCACCAATGCCGAAACATTCTGCACAATGACTCTCCAAGCTGCCAGGAGATATACATGGCCTAAATCTAGATGTAATCTGGAAGAATACATTTAGGAAAAACGATCAATTGTCACGAAGTAGGTTGCAGCGCACTTACGTTGACGAGACGCGACTTGAAATGTGTTGTAGGAGGGAGATCTCGACACGGCCACGGCAAAACCACCACTCGAACACAGAAACGAGAAGGTGCCCGTGAAGATTCAACACGATGTAGCACAAGCTGTCGTTTGTAGAACCGAACACTAAACGCATCACAAAAAATTCATGGGCTTCTTTGAAGAAATCGCTCGCAGAAACAGACATACGCATCTGCCACAGAGGGAGAATTCACACGCCAAACTAGGTCCGGCTAAGTGCATTCCGAGATCGGCAACGGCTAATGCGTCAATCGTCAAACCACGTGACCACTCACTATTTACAACGCTTTCAGCTTAGGGAGAGAGAAAAGGATCGAAGAGGCCAAAACGGTTTCACGAACAAAAGGCTTATTTTTAGGGCCACAACCAGGAGATGTGTTACGTGTAACGAAGGTTGACAGTGCTGTGAATGCTATGTGTGGCCTTGGGCGCCAGGCAGGTGCAATGTCCTGCTTTGTCACCAGATTCTAGACTGTAGTCACGTGACCCTAACCGGAGACACGATTGGCCTAAATCACCAGTAGGGTATACCTTGCTGTCAATACCGAGTGAACATACAGCTCTATGAAGTCTAGCTTTTGAACTCAAAACGATGCGAGCTTCAGGATACTGTTTTACGCTGTATAAACCACACTATAATTTTAAATGAAAAAAATTAACGCGACTATTTTTTTGTGCATGATGTCGACAAATAATTAGATAAATAATAATGTATATAAATGTATTTTTACCAATAAATTTAAAATCATGTGTACACTGTTTCAAATTTTTTTACGAACGAGTTATACATAAAAGACACCACGGACAGCACATTTTCCGACTTTCAACGCACGATGAATCGCCGTCGCTCGCAAACGAACGGATGCGATGCTGCGCGAACGGTTTTGAAAGAGCTGCGTATTGTACTCCGGGCGCAACGGCTTCCGTTCGAAGGGAAAAGGATTCGGGACGGCGAAGTAGCGTCTTGCATCTTGAGTAAGCTAATGGTTTGTGTTTACCCGCTCAATTTAGCGGGGAAACATGAAAAAAAAAATTAGTTTCACTGCCAGATTTCCCGGGAAAATTGACGTCACGTGACGTACGTACCAATTCAATTTCTCGCTAAATTTAGCGGGGCGGTTACACCGATGGCGACGCCAACACAGCTTAACTCGGAAACGGGTGCCTACGAGCTGCGACTAAAATAAATTATTTGATTAACTCGCATTCCGATCGCACTTCGTCATATTGTCACACAACAAACAGACAACCAAATTTCATTTGTCTTTCAATCTTCAAATTGCGCAATTGATTAATTGGTCCAAATACCTGGAACAACTTCACTTTAAGGATGTTGACAATAGTTCACCAATTACATGAGACTCATGCAATATAGATCAATCAACTAGTGTCTTAGCGGTACATATAACTTGTTGCTTGCACGACTGAAACGGGCCCATATATCATTATCAGGGGCGTTATATTTGCACGCGTATATGGTGATATATGGACGTATTTACGCACTTATACAGCCAGATCTGGTAGTATTTGCCCACCTATATGGCGAAATACGGCCGTATTAGCTCCCATATCTGGCGAAATACAGCCCTATTTGACTGCTTATATTATCATATCTGAACCTATATAAAATATATCAGGGCCATATCTGACAATATCGTACGGGAAATTTGATCATGAAAGGTAGGCACTAGTGCAGAAAAACTTATTAGATGTTTAATTCATCGCCCCTGCCAATGAACACCTAAAACTAAAAATCCCGCGTAGGCTATAACATGGAGATTCATTCTATGAAGAAACACCATCGGCTATCGTAGCCTCCCGGCGATCGAAAACTCTCACCATATCTTGGTAAACGGCGAAGGCTACGGTCCGAGTGAACCAATCAGCGCGTCGAAGCTAGACACGTGACTACACAAGTTGCCGGTCTCTAGTTGCGCGCAGTGCTGTCAGTTTCATGAGCAGGAGAGAAAAAAACCGCTTTTGTACCAATTTTGAGTGACGGGCTAATTTCCCAGGGCGACAACACTGACGTCTGGGACACACAGGAGGGTTCGACTTGAGAAGGCAGTTCCTCGTTCCCCTCTTCTCCATCTGCTTGGGTTACACTCCCGCCCCCGTGTCTTTGTTAAAGGCCGATGTGCACTTCGCGCTTTCCACTTTTTTTCGCTGCCTTCTTCCACGTATCAAGTCCACCTTTGCAACATGCCCCAACATGGCACCCCTCGCAGTTTTCGAAAGTATGACGCTAAGAGGATCAATTTTCTTGCACGGAACTAAGGGTGTACATCGGCCTTTAAGGGCTGTCAATCTTCACAGCCGTCACTCTGATTGGCTCGACGGTGCCGTAGTTTTCACTCTGCGACAAGCCAAGGTCAAACAATGTATACGCTCCGTGCGAGAACTATAGGGGGCGCTTTGAAAGACGCACGTAGCGCCGCTAGCGGAGGAGCTGGTGTTCGACAGTGAGGCGCGCTCAGCAGCCTGCGGCGCCTTTTCGCGTGCGAGCTGTGGCGGCGGAAGCGCGCACGGACGAAACTTTTGCTTTTTGAGCCTATAAGTTGAGGGTGACGTTGCATGAGTGCTGGGGCAGATTTAAGAAGGGTATTTAGTTAAACAATCGGAAAGAATGAACACAAATTCGGGACAAAAACAGACGCATACAACTCTTTCATGGAAGAATTTGTTAGGGTCAAACGCGGTTTGGCCGACGTTCGGACGAGAACAACACATGTAGCTCAGAAAACTTGATTAACATTAAAAATGAGCGTGTTGGTAAATATACTTTCTCCGCTTCTTATATATTGAGTTTGAGTCGTTATTAGGGGTAATTTCTTTAGTTGCACTCGAAAAAGGGGTTTGAGCAATTTTCCGAAAAGCAAACGGTTGCCACCATAAATGCTCTCAGCGGGAAATTTGGTTTGGGCGGCATAACTGAATGGGAAACGGTTTTGACCGTGAAAGGGCTGTCAGGAGAATACCACTCATCGTGGGAGATGGAGGCTTTACAGGTAGGAAGGGACTAG